AAAATGCAGTGGGTACAACAAGTCCAAACTTTCAGTTTTTCAGGTAATTATAAAGTGTTTGTATTCTGGTGATAGGATTACGATTTCCTCTCATGCGTCAATTACTTTTAGGCCTCCAATGGAAAAACAATTGTATGAAGAATGGATAAAAGCAATTAAGAAACATCAAATCATCCGAAATATTACATTCGTATGTAATTTACACTTTGATCCCAAATCAATGGTTAAAATAAACGGAAAAATGCTTTTAAAACATGGCACAGTCCCAAGCATCTTCACGAACAAAAACCACATGTATGAAATTCAAATACAAAATATTCATGGACAGTTTTAATTAAAATGACAACATCTCATTTGTAGTAATTCAAACATCGAGGAAGACGTTAGCTTGAAATTGGAACCAGTTGTGATCGAAGAGGGCCACGCAAAAGATACATTCCAATTGGTAAACGTAGACCAAATGTGGGTATTACAAAGCGAATTTTCTGGAATGATGTTTAATATTCGCAGGATAATTCAATTATATTCCACATAGAATACAGAATGCGGCCACAATAAAAGAGGAGGCAAATCAGCCTGGGCAACAAACTCAACAAGTAAAATCGATTTGCAATGGATGCGCTGATCGCGACTTTGAAATCAATAAGCTGAAAGTAGAAGTGAGACACAGAAATAAATTAATTCAATATTGGAAGTCACTTGCTTTGCAGTACAAATGTGGCAACAACGATCCATTTCCAGACATGATATCAACAACCGAGCAAATGGAAGAAACGGTTGAAAACAATAGAGAATTGGATAAAGTGACCAACACTGCAAATGATGTTGATTTGATTATTGAAAATGAAAAATCTTCTGCTCAGGATCGCCTTTTAAAACGTAATGAATAAGATTTTTCTTTAAATTGTGATTATTAAAATAATATTTTCATTTGAATTACAGCGTATAAATGTGGAAGGTGTAATGAAACATTTGAAACACCTAAGGAATTGGAGCATCATATGCGGTCAATAAATGAAAAGCCGAAAATTATAATAAAAGAAACAAAGGAAACCAAATTTGGAAAGCGTGCATATGAATGTTACCTATGCAAAAAGGCAATGCCCTCGTTGCTTCGAGTCCAAAGACATGTGGAAAATCACTCTAAACAAAAGATTACCAAAATGAAACATTGCACTGTATGTTTTAAGAGCTTCGTGTTAAGTAAAATCGATCAGCATTTATGTACTCAAGAGATGGAAATTTGTTGTGAATATTGTACACAGAGTTTCACGTCCACATATCGATTGTTAGACCATTTAGACTCACGTCATATGGATGCTACATTATATCCATGCACCAAATGTACGAAACATTTTAGCATGATGATTTTGAAAGACGTCCATGAACGTTGTCATGACAAAGTTATTATTTGCGAGATTTGCTCTGAATCATTTTCTCGTCGGATCGAATATTTAGAACATAAAAAAACACATGACACTGAAAAATGTAAGTTCAATCAATTCAATCGTACTACTCTTTCTTAATCAATTTGAATTTACTTACAGCCGAAACAGCATATCTCTGCGAAATATGTGGGAAAGAATCCAAAACGAGAGATAACCTTTCGCAACATAGGAAAGTACACAATGAACCGAAGTTCAAATGCCCGGACTGTCCGCAAGTATTTCGATTTTTAGGTGGTCTAAAGAGACATAGTTATGTCCATGGCAATAATGCCCCGCAAATATGCAAGATTTGTGGTGCAAAACTAGCGTCACCGAGCGGTCTCAAAAAACATATCCGTAATGTACACAAAGGCTCTCACGTTGATTGTGAAATATGCCACAAGAAAATCAAACGCAACAGCTTACGTCATCACATGAAATCACACTCAAATATAAAATGTACTCAATATATTATTACCTGTCAAAAATATTGTATTATCACGGATTTTATTCTATATCGTTCCAATAGCATTTCAATGTGAATACTGCCCCCAAAAATATAAATACAACGGTGACTTAAACAAGCACCTTAGAATTCATCTTGGCGAAAACATTCACCGTAAGTAAAGCTACTATACCAGACTTTTTGCAAATAAACAAAGTAACAATGGCATTTTTTCTCTTATAAAATTATTTAGGATGCAACCAGTGCCCTGAACGTTTTCGGCTTCCGATTGAACTTCAAAGACACTCTTTCACCCATTACAAAGAAAAACCAACGATTTAAAAAATTATTTTTAAAATGGATTATGTATTTTGAAATATAATTATAATATTGATCCAAAGAGTCGTCTGAGAATTTTCTTTATCTTTTCTGTCCTTTAGGTCCATTCAAAATAATTAAAACCGACATACATACACAATAAAAATATCTTCTCAATCAACTTATGCTCAAGACCATTAGGTCCAAGAGAGGATTCATGCCGTTAAAGTCTTCCTAACTTACTAATATTTTCATTTCGCCATTTATTCTAGAGGAACAGAAAAAACAATAGCAATAACACGTTACGAATAACTAACACTTAACGTGTTTATAATAATAAGAAAACTTGAGATGTGATCTCTCTTTTATCTTCATCTGTATAAATCTTATGTATATCAAAACATAGAATATTACGTAAAGTAATATTATACTAACAAAATTAGATTTAAAAATTATGATGTTTGCTTGTTTCTTTTCTTCTTTTAAAAACACACCTAAATCTTACTGAAGAACTAAACGCACCCCTTTCATACCTGTTAAATGTGCACAGCTGTCAACTCAACTTTGACAGAAAGTTTTGTTTGACACAACAATAGATTGGCGATAGAAAACAGAACTCTACCCCAAAAAAAAACAGTTTGTGAAAATTTTGTAATAAAACTTATAAAAATAGTCGAATATTAATATGGATAAAAAACTTTCACTTAAACGTTATTGCTCCATTCAAATGTGCAAAAATGCAGTGGGTACAACAAGTCCAAACTTTCAGTTTTTCAGGTAA